CCGGGCTCTCCTGGAAAGACACTCCATTGAGGGTGGTTCCTGAGAAAAGGAGCGGAAACAGTTCCATAGGAGGGCCACCCGAATGAGGGCAGAGCTAGCCGCTGCAGCCATCCTCCAGTGCCAAGGTGGCTTCCTTCTCAGCCAATCCTCTGTGGCCGTTTCAGGGCCCAGGAGAGGAAGGAGCAAGCAGGGGTCTGCAGTGCTGACAACTAGAGGACACAGCTCCTGGCTCTCCTCAGCCTGTGAATCTGAAGATTATTCACCAACAACACTGTCATGGTTCCTGCAGCAGGGTCTCTTTCATTTCTGCCCAGGGGACATACTGACTTCAGAAGCCACCCCCCCCCCACCCACCCCTAACACACACACACACACACCAGCCCACAGCAGGTTGTGCACGCGTGCTAAGATACTTCAGTCGTGTCTGACTCTTTGGGACCCCATGGACTGTAGCTCGCGGGGCTCCTCTGTCCGTGGGGATTCTCCAGGCAAGAATACTGAAGAGAGTTGCCATGCCCTCCTCCACGGGATCTTCCCGACCCAGGGATCTGACCTGCATCTCAATCTCCTGCATTGGCAGGTGGTTTCTTTCATAGCTCCAACTGGGAAGCTCCACAGTGGGTTGGGAAGGTGCTTAACAGACCAGCCTTTGGCATATTAATAACAATGATGACTGGCATCGCAGACGTTCATGGGCACCTCTTCTATGTCTGGCATTGTACTAGAGTTTTAATGCATTCTCTTTTCCAATTCACACCTAATGAAGGGGTTTCCGTTATTATCCCCACTGTATTAATAAAGAAAAGGAAGCTCAGAGAGGTCAAGCAACCAGTCCCAGGTCACACAGCTGTAATAATAAGTGATGGCTGCAGTTACAACTCAGGGTTGCCTTTCTCTAGAGTCCTTATCACACACACCTGAGTTTGAATCTGGAGTCCACACTATGTGATTGTGACTCGTGCCAACCTCCAGGTTTCTCCTATTTTCTTAAATTATAGACATCAAATTTTGGCAATTTCATGTTATTTAGCCTAAGCTTCCTTGGCTCAGATGGTAAAGAATCCGCCTGCAACACGGGAGACCTGGGTTGGGAAGATCCCCTGGAGAAGGGAAGGGCTACTCACTCCAGTATTCTGGCCTAGAGAATTCCATGGACAGAAGAGATTGGTGGGCTACAGTCCATGAAGTCGCAAAGAGTCAGACATGACTGAGCAATTTTCACGTTTCTTTTATAAGATTGTTGTAAGAATTAAATAAGATAACACATATTGAGTATTTAGCCTAAATTTAGCCTAAAATATAGTAAACAATGCGACCTTTTAGTAATAATCTCAGAGTCAGTATGTTCGTTCAGTATGGATACATTAATCAAGTTATTCCTGGAGAAGGAAATGACAACCCATTCCGGTATTCTTACGGGGATAATCTTATGGACAGAGGAGCCTGGTGGGCTATAGTCCATGGTGTTGCAAAGAGTTGAACACGACTGAGCACACACACATGATCCAGTTATTCATAGTCTCTGTGGTTTTCTTGAGACTTTGGAAGCTCCTACACATCCTAATGTGGGCACGTCGGGCCCCAAGGACAGCTGGATGTGGTGCTGATGTGGGGAGAGCTCTCGTTCCTTCTCTGTGACTTAACTTACACAGGGATCCACATGTCTGAAGCATGCATCTGTGTCTGAACCATTGATTCCTTTCTTCCACGTTGCCCACTCACATTCACTTGGGTTCATTACGGGTTCCAAGTCTTCAAAATCACTCAAATCTGATCGCATTACTTTCCTGCTTAAAAAAAAATCTCCCAGGCGCCTAACAGAATCAAGGCAAACTCCTTAGCTTGGAACGCAAGGCCCCTGGGAAACTGCCTCCAATCCCCTTTCTGCCTCTTTCCTGCCCCTCAATTCCTTTCTGACCACATTAAATCCCCCTTTGTTCCATGAACGCCACATGAACTTTCAAGCCCTATGCCTTTGTAGGGCTCTTTTCTCTGCCTAGAGAGAATGCTTCCCCCCCACATCTTCTTTGAGCAAACTTCTATACATCTTTCAAAACCCAACTCAGTTTTTTTGCCTTTCCTGTGAAACTGGTCTCCAGCATATCTCTGCTCTTACTTCAGTGACAGTCTGCATACTTCACAAAGTACTGTAGTTATCTGTTCATGCAACTCCCCCACTGGGGATTCATGAAATTCAGGGCTAGGGCTTACCCTTCTATTCCCAAGCCACCTAGAAGGTCCTAAATAAATGCTAATAAATACTTATCTTAATGTAAATTCTGATCATTTTATTGACGGTAAAATAAGATGTGTGTCTGAGTATTTATACCGTTCCTTATTCCAGCAAGATTTTGAAATAGATGTGCATATAACAATCTTTCTTACTCACAAGGAGATATAGAATAGTGCTTTGTGCATCCTATAGTAGAAAGAGCTTTAGAGTTGAACAGTTCTGGGTTCAAATCCTAACTTGGCCTCTTCCTGTGACTTTAACTTTTTTTGGCCACACTGCGAGGCATGCAAGTCTTAACCACTGACCCACCAAGGAAGCCCCCCTCTTACTGTGACTTTAAGTCATTACTTCATTTCTCTCAGTCTTAGTTTTCCTGTCTGTAAAATGTAGATAACAATAATTACCTGTATGGCAGATACTGTTGATAACCACCCAAGAGTCGCTTTCCTTCTTACTGCCCTGCATTTTTTTTTTTTCAGGAATCTACTCCCTCTTCCTTGTGCCCAGGGAAGGGAAGGGAAGGGAAGGGGGAAATCCTGATTAGTCTAAATAAATCTTGGTATCTTGTTCCCCTTGCCAGTGACTCTTTGGGGGATGGATCTGTGGCTCAGTTCTAGTCAATGAAATATAGGGAGGGATCTTTGGGGGTATGTCTGGAGAGTTGTTTTAGGAAATATTCCCTTCCTCTTAAAACATGAGAGAAACAATTGTCCTTATGTAGCTGGACATTATGTCTAGATCGATGGCTGGGCCCAGAGCAGCCATTTTGTTATGATGAAGGCAACTACTTAGAGAACTGAGCCAACACACTAAGGATGACAGAATGGAATTGTGGGAAGAACTGGGGTCCTGGTGGCATCATTCAGCACCTGGAGCCATTCGTCTCTGGACTTTTTCCCTGAGATCATCAGTCCCTTCACTGTTCAGTGAGGGACACCCGGCTCAATCCAGTGTTGTTAAGGTTGCTGTTACTTGTAGCTGAAGGGATTCTAACAGATCAACTTCACAGAGTAGTGGTGATAACTAAACAAAATAAAGTTAATAAAGAATCTGGCACATGTTTAATTCTTAGCAGTTATTAAAGAACTTCCTCTGAGGTGTTCTGAGGCGAATGCACGCATGACCCCAAAGACGCGGCAGATGGTTACGCAGTAAGGTTTAAAGCAGTGCAGAGATGGGTGGGTACTGGAATGACAACAAAGATGACAACGACAGTGAAATTCGTCCAGTATGTTAGGGAGCTTCCAGATGGAGCTTCTTGGGACTGTAAAAATGGTGTTCCTTTGTACTTCTCAGGCTTCCTGTTACCCTGGTCAGAATTAAACACTGCAGGACACAGGATTTTCTGCTTTTCTGTGGGCGGCCACACTTGTGCAGTCCGGGTGGTCCCTGATTACCCTGGGGCATGGAAGCCCTGCTCCAGGACGGAGGCTAGAGTATAATTTGTAGCTCCGGGAGGAGCCAAGATTTGGAAGCAGAACTAACATACCCACACCACGCAGAACGTGGCCTGCCACGGACAAGAAGCACACACAGCCCCCCCTCCGAGAGTGCCCAGCGAGGCCCCGGAGACTTGGCCACCTCCATAGGCCTGCCTTTGGGGGCACTGGGGCTGGGTGTCCCGCCTGACTTTTGGCCGGCTGACCAGGCCAGCTTCCCTCCGTGCCAGCCCCATGGCCCTTCTGAACCTTGTTCCAGGAGCGCTCAGCCACACCAGTGTCTGCCAGACTCACGTCCGCCCAGCTGCCTGGGCAGCCCTGGCAACAGGGCATGGGGCAGAGTTTGTGCAAGGACACGGTGGCCCCTGCAGGAGGGTTGTGGGGGCAAGCCAGGAGACAGCCTGGAGGAGGAAGCGAGGCAGAAGCCACAGATGCGAGGTGGTCTCGGCCCCCCGTTAGGAAGGTCTTCTTCCTCTTAGGAGCTGGTTCCAGGCCCCCTTTCCCTCCAGCTGCCCTCTGGCTGTTTACTTCTTGCCTGGCCCCTCTGCCCAGTCAACTTCAGCACAGCCCTGCTTCCCAGGGCTGACGTTCAATTCGGTCACCAAATATTTATCTAGACTATCCTATGCAAGATGTCATATTCCAGCAAGGTTGCTGCTGTGTGAATCTGGGGCAGGGCCCCGTCCCCTCTGGCCAGAGGCAGACTCCAAGGACAGAGTCTGAGACGCCCTGACCTAAGACCACAGGGGAAACTGAGGCCCGGGGAAGTGACTTCCCCCCGAGACACACTGCAAGTCAGTAACTCAGTCAAGTTCAAAGTCAAGTGTCTGAGTGCCTGGCTCAGTGTTGTATCCACTGGACTGCCCTACCCCTTGGCGCTTGTCTCAAAATCCAGTCGAGAGAGAGGAGGCAAGTCAACCCAGAATAGAATGCAGGTGCCACGGGCCAGTTAAAGAGCCGCGGTTCCAACACAGGGAGAGAAGCTGTCAGGAGAGGAGGGCAGGAAGCCAGGCCTATATCAGGAGGGGCAGGGTTTGACTTGGAGCGTGGCTGAGACGTGGCAGGCACTTGGGTGGTGGGAAAGAGGCAATTCCAGGCCCCAGATAGCATGGTCAGCTAAAGCCTGGTCGTTCAAAGACCGGGGTTCCAGCCCTGACTCTGCCATCACAAGCTCGGTGACCTTGGGCCAGTGGCCTCCCTAGTCTAGGTTTGTTTCCTTACATGTAAAATGTCAGAGGGGGAGTGAGCCAGCTGGTCCACTGTGATGCGCCCTGATGCCTTCTCTCCTCCCACGAGGCTGGCCCTCCCCTTCCCACTGCCACTGCCAGCGTCACCACCCAGGACACCCCCCAGTGTGTGCCAGGTGGCTGGAACGGACACCGAAGAGGAAGTGTCCCCGGGTGCCCCACCAGAGCAGCACGGAGCTGGCAGGCCTGCTCAAGGGGCCCGCCCAGAGCTCTGGGGAGCAGAACTGGGGTAGGAATCGTCCTCTTCCGGGGAGGGTTCTTTCCAATCCCACTCTCTCCTGAGGCCCAACATGCTCCCTACCTTGGAGCAGAAAGAGGAGGTCTCAAGGGTAGCCACTTAACAGCCCCAAGCCTCAGTACTCTTGTTTTTAAAGTGATGTGAAAATAGAAGCTTAGCATTCTTATTTGTAAAGTTGCTGAAGCTTGTCAAGTGCCTAGCCTGGTGCCTGGGTTAGAAACCAGTCAGTAAATATTAGATGCTATGCGTTGCTGGGGAGCGGCTTGCTGGGGACAGCTGCACAATTGGAAGGCTCCTGAGGTTAAACAGGCTGGTTCAAGCGGCGGAGCGGGGAGCGGTAGTGCCCTGTGTGTGCAACCCCCAAGCACAGGCGGGGAGGACTGTGATTGGCACCTGGGGAGGTGGTGTGAAGCCCACAGGCAACAATGTGTGCGCGCCCCCTGCTGGCTGGGGGCAAAAGGTGCAGGCCTGCCGGTTCTTCGGCCCTGGGGCAGGGAAGGGGGATTCCTCTTTAGCACGTGGTTGCTGCTGCCTGGTAGGTTGAATCCAGCACCCACGGAGTACCTGTGAGGCGTCACCCACCTGGCCATTTGCCAGGTTTTTTTGGAGGGATGACTGACAGGGAGTGACAGACAAAATGAGTGAAAGGTAAGTTAGGTTTTTGGGAGCCGATTAGTTTTTGAGACAACCCAGCCTCTGAGACCATGTCAGAAGCTGTTTCGGATACAGCAGTGAACTAAGTTTCCTGTATCTTGGACTTGCCGTGTGTGGAATGACCTTGGACAGGCCACATAAGCCCTGTGAGCTTCAGTCTCCTCGTCTGTAGCTCATATGTCTTCTCTACCCCTCCCCTCCTCTACCAGAAGAAGGGACCCTAGGGTGGATCTCAAGGATGCTGTATTTCGTAGTGGGTGGGGGGGGCAGTTAAAAGTCACTACCAACAACTATGCCTTCTCAAGGGAGCCTCATCCTTTGAACCCGTCCTGTGGATCTCTGGTTCATTCAGAAGGGACCCTGTCGTGCTCCTGGGGCATGCCAGCCTCCCCAGGTTCTCCCACCCACCCACCAGGTACCCCGCAGACCCCTGACTCTGGCCCCTTGAGCCCTAACCTCTAATGGGGGGCATTGGGGTGGATGTGGGGGGGTCCTGGGGACGGGGCTGGGACGGCAAGTCCCCACGCTGCATGTTCCAGGCCACAGAGGGTCTTTCTGCTGGGGTTACCTGGACTGCTTCACCTCAATGTCACTTACTGGGGGCCTTTGTCTTCTCAGATCCCTGTTCTCTCCCAGACTGCTGGGTGAATCTGGTCTCTCTTAGTATGGCTTTGAGGGCTTGTGGAGGATAGGGAGAGATGTTCTCAATAACTTTTTATTAAGATCCACCGTCACTGCCACAATCAACAAATTTCTATTCCCAGGGGCCCTCACTGTGGATGTGCATGGACACACACACAGCAGAAGTCAGGGTTGAAACTATTCAATGCCAGAGGAATGTTTTAACATCTGTATCAAAACTACCAAAGTTTATTTTTTGAGGAAGTCTGTGGTATCATCTCACACTCCGTATGTATGCATACTTCTGCATTCATTCATGTAACAAGGTTTTATTGAGCTATTGCCAGATATTGAAGCAATAACAGGAAATAAACACAAATCCCACATAAAGCTTACATTCTACTGTGTGTCTCTGTGTTTGTTGGGGGTGTAGGGGGTGGTGAGAGAAAAATAAATAAGCAAGTGGAACAAACATGACATTTGAGGGTAATGTGTGCTGTAGAGAAAACCAAAGCAGAAGAGGGGTTGGTGCCCCAGGATGGGGGGGGGGCAATGTTAAATGGAGCCTTCAGGGAAGATCTTACTAAAAAGGTAACATTTAAGTAAAGATCTAACAGAGGTGAGAGTGGACCCAGTAATCATTTGGTAAAAGAGGGCTCCAGGCAGAGGAAATGGCGATGCAAAGGCCCTGAGGCAGGAGCATGCCTGATGACAGAGAGGCTGTCCTGGAGAGAATAGAGGAGGGGAATAGGACACATGGTCAGGAGCAGGCGGTTTTGGGCTTTGAGGGCCATTGGGAGGATACTAGTGTTTACTCTGAGTGAGATGGAACCATTGCAGGGCTTTCAGCAGACAGTGACATCATCCATCCTGTATGGGAAAAAGATCATTCTGGCAAGGAGATTGGCGGGAGAGTAGGGGGACTGGTGAAGGGATGGAGGCAAAGGATGGTGGCTGGGACCAGGGGGGTGGTAGCCAGGTTAGTGAGAAGTCAGTCACTTCTGGATGTATCCAGAAGTCAGGGGAGATGGCCTGAGTTAGACAAGAAGTCATCTGTTTTGATTTCAGTAAGTATTTCTTCTGCATATTTTGTTATTAGTCCCTAAGATATGTAGGGAAAAGGAGTAGTGTTCATATACACAAACATACTTGATACAGCAACAAGCGAGTGTCTACAGGGCCCCACCTGACTCCTAAGGTCAGGACCAACCCACAAGGTGCCTAGTGACAGTGGTCCTTCCCTCACAGGCATGTTGTGAGGACAATGCATGCAAAGCACTTACAAACTCTTTAGACTCAACAAAGAAAAGCTATTTTTATTAATGAAGTACGGTCAAGGGTCCTCTGTACCCTTTTTCCAACCCATATAGGTAATTTCAGCTCTCTTCTGAAAGTTCAGAAGTTAGCACCTGCCTTGTAAATAGGACACCACAAAATGCTCTTTAGAGACATGTGGTGGGGAGAAGTTAATCAGGGTAGGCTTCCTGGAGCAGGAGCTAGGCTGACTTCCTCTGAAGTCTGACTCCTCTTCCAGTGAAGAAACTAAGGCTCAGTGACATTAAATAACTTGCCTGAGGTCACAGAGCTAGAAACTGGCAAAAGACATCCATGCTTTCCTGGCTCAGAAGCCACTGTTCTTAGCCAGGGTGCTGCCACGGTGACAGGCTGTTTCCATCAGAGGAGAACGATGGCCATTCATGTGAGGACCTGGAACAAGAGGATCTGAATGGCTGTCACTCAAATCCGGGTGGAGCACAGGTATGGGGACCTTGGCATAGCCTCACTAATAGTAATAAATTATGATTATCTGGTGAGCAGAGCAGTGTGCCAGGCCCTTGGCACCAGGTTTTAGATGCATGATTTCATTTAACTCTCATTTTGCAGGTGAGGTGTCAGAAGTGAGAGAGGAACCCAAGCGTTTTCATTCTTTATTGCATTATAACAGTGGACTCAAGATGTGGCTTTAAGCAACAGTGCACCAGTTCTCCTGATTTTGTGAGTCAGGAGTCTGGGCAGGGCTCAGTTGGTTGGTTCTTCTGCTCCATGTGGCATTAGCTGGGATCATTCTGCACTCAGCTGGCAGCCGGACTGGGAGGGAAGGACAAAGAAGACTTATTCACATGCCTTGCACTTCAGCACTTCTCTACGTGGCCTCCCCCATGTGGCTGGTGTGGTGGCTTCAGGGTGGTTGGTTTCTTACATGGTAGCTGGCTTCCAAAGGAATGAAAGCAGAAGCTGCCAGGCTCCTTAGGGGCTTGGCGTGGAGATGGCATAGCTCCTTTGCACCGAATTCTGCTGGTCAAAGCAAGTCACGAGACTATACCAAGTTCAGGAGGAGGATAAATAGATTTTTCCTGTAGGTGGACATGGCAACATGCACATCCTGGAATGGGAGATGCTTGTGGCTATGGCAGGAGACTAAAAACCATCCCCAGCCTCCCCACTGCCAGCCCTCCTCCCAGGCCTAACTCCAGGAAGCCCTCATTTCTAAGAATTCGCTAAAGTCCGCCAGGCCCCCACCACAAGAGATATGCCTATGTTTTGTCTTATCTGGCCCCCAGCCCAGCGACTGCTTCATCCTCTGCACCCAGCTTCAGAATAATTTATCTTCTTTCCTCTGAGAAAGGCACCATTTCCCCCTATTTCTTGGGGCCCCATCACCTGAGTTAGCCTGAGCATGTCTTGTTCTCAGGACCCTAAAAGAACCAAACATGTGACTTATAGGCAGTCAGCCACCTGCGCAAGAGTGGGTCGGATTCACTTTGCAGAGGCAGCACCCAGCTTTCCCTGGAAGAAGAGCTCCATAAACAGGAATTTCTGGCACCAAAATCCATGTGCTTGGGCCTTGAACAAAGGAAAAGAGAATCTTCCTTCTCCAGGACCAGTAGCATCATCGTCCCCTGGAAATGTCTAGGGTCACAGCCCTCCCACCCCCACCTCCTGAAACAGAACTTGCATGTTAACAAAATCCCAAGTGAAGCATATGCATGTTAAAGTTTGAGAAAACTGAGGCAGAGGTGTCCAAGGTAAAGAACAGAAACAGGTTGGGAAGACAGATGCCAGTGGAGCCCACCTGCAGTGATGAGGCATAGGACTCAGCCTTGGCTGATGGTTGGAATCACCTGTGGCCCTTTAAAAGAAATTCCTGATGCCCAGTGTGCACTTTGATCAGTTCAGTCTTAGGTCCTGGGGCTGGAACCCAGGCATCAGAATTTTTTAAAATCTCCTCCAGTGATTGCAGTGTGCTATCAGGGTTGGGAGCCATTGTTTTAGGGTCCTCCTTCTTAAAGGGCTTCCGTTGTGGCTCAGATGGTAAAGAATCTGCCTGCAATGCAGGAGACCTGGGTTTGGTCCTTGGGTTGGGAAGATCCCCTGGAGAAGGGATGGTCAACCCACTCCAGTATTCTTTCCTAAAGAATCCCATGAACAGAGGAGCCTGGCGGGCTATAGTTCATGGGCTTGCAAAGAGGTGGACACAGCCAAGTAACTGGCACTTTTATTAAAATGCAGTCTGAGGACAGTCCATGCCCAAACCACTTGAGACACTGATTAAATATGTAGATTCCTAGGTCTCACACTGGATTTTTGAGTCTAAATCTCCAAGCTCAGGGCACAGGAATCCACATATTTTCCAAAATCTTTACCTTTTGGCCACACCGTGCACCCTGTGGGAATCTCATTTCCCTGACCAGGGATTGAACCCACATCGCCTGCATCAGAAGTCAGGAGTCTCAACCACTGGATCACCAGGGAAATCTCTAGAAATCCACCTCTCTAACCATCTCCCTGGGTGATTTGAATGAGCACAAAGTTAAAGACGGTTGGTTTAGGACCCTGAATAAAGAACAATACTAAACAATAATAGCAAGGATGTTTCTAAACACTACAAAAGTCTAACGTGCAATAATTAGAAAATACAGATGAGTAAAAGTATGAAACAAACTAACAAAAATCTCTGTCCTCCTTCTGCCCAGAGATCACTGGGGGCCCCCTCGGCACCCACCCTCGAGAAGGGAAAGAGCCTCCATCCTCCAGAGAAGCCGCCACCCGTCACCGGGTGGCCTGTGATGCCGGCTCCCCTCCGCTGGCAGGGTGGAGCCTGTCATCTGGCCCGGACAGAATTATTGCCTCAAATTACATGGTTGATTATCAATTACTTGTGTCCGTGCGAGAGCATGTGTGCGTGTGTGCCTAAGTGTCTTTGCAAATCATTAAGGGTCGTAATTCTGGATTATCGTTGATTAACGAGAGGGAGGCCTGGTACCTCCAGCAGCCGGGATGGCAGCCCCGCAATTATGTCCCAGCTGATCAGTAATTGGCGCATCACAAGATGATTTCTGTCTCCAGGCGGCCTCCTCCCAGCTTCTCCTGCCGACTCTGCGATTAGCACCATTGCTCATTCCTTTCAGGCCCTGGGCTGAGTCCAGAGGCCTGTTTTCTAGCAAGTGGATGTGGTGGGGCTGGCTTTGAAGACCACCACCCAAATGAGGTGGTGATAGCAGTGTGTGTTGGGGGGATAACGGTGGCAGAGGTGTCACTGGGCGGAGGAGAATGGAGCTCGCCTGAACTTGCAACCTGGGGCTGCCTTACCATCATCCTTTCCAGGAAGCCCAGGGACCATTCTCTGAGCTCGCTGCCCCTCTCCCCCTGCATGGATGGGGACACTGAGACCTAGAGAATGAAGGCAGCAAATTGGGGCGGGGGGAACCCCAAACCAATTATTCAGAATAGCACGGTTACATGAATCCAACCCCACGGAGCCGAGGAAAGACCAAACATACAGAGGAGCTTCTCCCCACCTGGGGTGGTTGTCACCTCCCAAGTCACCCCTGCCTGCCTCAGTTTCCCTGAGCAATGGTGAGCATTTGTCCTCCTGGGTTTGCAGACAGATGCCCCAACCCCCAGCAGCTGCAGGGGAAGTGCCCTGAGGAATGTGTGGTGTTAATTCAAGGCAGCAGCGTCTCCCGCCTGGATGGCGGCAATGGCCTCCGATCAGTTCCCCCCACTTCTCCGTGAGTCCCCAGTATCCAGCACGCTGGAGATGGAGGGATCTTTATAGCGACCTGTCTTATTCCCCATGAGATACCATCCCTCTGCACAGCGTGACTCCCCGTGGCCCTCAGGATAAAGTCTGGATCCCCAGCCTTCTCTCTTGCTGCATCCCACCCGTCTTCTCTGCCCAGCATAGACCCACTCCATGGTACCTCCATAGGTACCTCCTGCCGCCGGGGTCCTTTACTCGGTCTGATCCCTCTCCTTGGTATCCCTTCCCCCTCCTCTCATCATCTTTCACTTGGACACACCCACCTGTGGGAGAGGCAGGAATGCTTTAGCTCAGACTTGGGCTCCAAGGCCCAGAAAGGGGGTTCTGCCCTCACTGGGGACCAGCAGTGACAGAAACAGAAATTTTAAGGTCGCCTTTTCCGGGGGGGCTGGTGTTGCAGGAGGATGGGGAAGGCGGGGCCGTTCCGGAAACCTTCCACATAAAAGACTCTCCCGTGGCTGCAGAACCACCAGGCAGTTTGTTTCTGGGCCTTGCCAGCTGTCTTGGCCATTTTCATTTTTATCTACTTAGGGTGGTCAGCAGGTCATGGCAAGCGGGAGACGCGATGCTAATGACTCCGGCTCCACGTGGCGACCATTCAGGAAAAAGCTGCAATGTTCTTTCTGCCACATTAATCAGAGAAACGCATCAAGAGCTGTTGCATGGAGACAGCTTTCCTCCCAGTACCTGCCCTGCATACTAATCACCACCCGCTCCTGGCGGTGAGTCAGCTCCATGCCAGGCAGGCAGTGAGGGAAGACCAGAAACGCCCGATCCAGGCCCGTGGGGATAGGCAGAGGGGCAACAGCCACGTCCCAACGCCCTCCCCCAGATAAACACCGCATGGGCCATCACTGAGCCCCAGCAGGTGGGGGGTTGCAGATTCTGGAAAAGTCCAGCCAAAGGCAGATCCCTGGGTTAATTCCTTGGTCTAGGTCTTACCCAAGACCACCAGAGGGAACTCTCTAGCAGCTGATCCCTGGACAGGGTCTGATAAAAGCAAGCAGGGCCTCACTGGCAGGCACTTTGAGAACAATAAGACATAGCTTTAGATAGCGTTGGATGGCATCACCAACTCAATGGACATGAGTTTGAGTAAACTCCGAGAGTTGGCGATGGACAGGGAGGCCTGGCGTGCTGCAGTCCATGGGGCTGCAAAGAGTCGGACACGACTGAGCGACCGAACTGAACAGACTGAGTGTGCGCGGCAGGCATACCTCGTAAGCACTCTGGGTGGATTACTCAGTTTACCCTCATGCAACCCTGTGAACTGGGTACCCTTGCTGGTCCGGCTGTGCAGATGAGCAAGGCAACACACAGACGGGTCAAGTAACCAACGCAAGGTCACACAGCCGGTAACACCAACTGGGTGTGAACCCCGGAACCTGTGCTCCAAACCAGCCCCCTCTGATTCCCCTCACTGTGCTGCTAGAGCCCAGAGTCGCCTGAGCTGTTGGTCACCGGGACCAGCCTCTGAAAGTCTTTTGCCTGTATTCATTCATTCACTTATTCATTCACACAGCAACTATTTGTTGAGCACCTGTTATATGCAAAACACTTTGCTGGGCACCAGGGAGACAATGGGAAACAAAACAGATATACACTTAAAGAGGGAGACTGGCATCAACTGAACATTTTCACAAATTCATAGTAAATGCAAAATGTGACTAAGTGCCATGAGGAGAAGTGCGAGGTCCCACAAAGGCATATAGACGGGGACACTCATGTCGCTTGGAAAAGCCCGGGAAGGTTTCCCAAGGAAGTGACAGATGAGGAGGGTGGCTTGCACCAGCGCCTCTCAAAGCGTGGTCCCTGGACTGGTGGCATGAGGTCACCTGGGAACCTCTTAGAAATGCAGACTCTTGGGCCTCACCCCAGACTGAATCAGGGACTCTGGGGGTGAGGCAGAGAAATCTGGAATCTCTTGGGAAATTCTGAGGCACACTCGAATGTGAGACCTACTGGCTTAACGCAAAGGCCCGGAAGTGGGCAGGAGCATGCATGTTGGTGCAGCTGGAAGGGGGGCCTGCAGCTGGCAAGGGGGAAGTGGTCTGAGATGAGCCAAACAGGGTTTGTTCACCTGGGCCTTGTAGGCATCCTAAAGGGTGCAGCCCTACACCAGCTCCCATCACCAAGAAGCCCAGCCAGAGGGCTTGTCGGCCCCAGAGACCCTCAGGGATAGTGGCAGGTCACCCAGGGGTCCAGTGTGGCTGACGCGAGAGGACAGAAGTGACCGTGTATACGGCTTCTGACCAGTCACCTGACCCTCCCAGTGTTTTGACTTCCAGGAAGTACCAATGAGATGGTGGACCCCACTGCTGGGGAAGTGCCTCCATCCTCAACGCTGGGAAAGGAAGTTAGAATGGAAACTTCTCCTTATTCTCCAGAAGCGTCTGGATCTCAGTGAAATCCCAGCCACAGCAGCAGCAGCAGCTGGCTATGACCCGCTGGGTGGAGAGCTGGCTGGGTGTTGACGTCGCCAGAAGCTGAAGCCAGGTTCAGGGCGGTGGGATCAGGGATGGAGGCTGAGCGAAGTTCCCTAGCTGAGCCTCTATGTTTTCAAGGGGTCAGCACAGAAACAGATGAGAGTTAATGACACCCAAACAGCCCCTGGACTACCGAGTCGGGTGGCATTTTGGGGTCCCTGCTGTGTGCTGGACCCTGTCCGAGGCCCTTTCACAAGTGCTGTCAGAACTTCCAGGCTTTCAGATCCCTCCTCTGTCATTCCGTCCACAGAGGCATATCGATGACTGTTTGTTTGGACCTGGTATGTCAGGACACAGTGGTGAGCAGGACAGACTGTCTTATCCTCAGGGACAGCCTCGTGGGGAAGACAGAGGAATATGAGCGCTCCAGCAAAGGAGCTCCCAGTTATTTTTTAGGGCCAACTGTGAGGGTTCTGGAACTCTCTTCCCTTGGACTGCAAGGAGATCCAACCAGTCCATCCTAAAGGAAATCAGTCCTGAGTGTTCATTGGAATGTTGATGCTGAAGCTGAAACTCCAACACTTTGGCCACCTGATGTGAAGAACTGACTTATTGGAAAAGACCCTGATGCTGGGAAAGATTGAAGGCGGGAGGAGAAGGGGATGACAAAGGATGAGATGGTTGGATGGCATCACCAACTCAATGGACATGGGTGTGAGTAAACTCTGGGAGTTGGTGATGAACAGGGAGGCTTGGTGTGCTGCAGTCCATGGGGTCGCAAGAGTCGGACATGACTGAGCAACTGAACTGAACTGAACTGTGAGGGTCCTGAGTATTATTTTTATTAAGAAACATTTCATTTCTTCAAGTATCTGTTGCAAGGAGAAAGAAACCAGGAGAAAACACAGCCAGTTGGAGATGCTGGCATTGGCTTTGTCCCCAGGGTTACTGTTAGCTGTCAGTGTAGGACCTGAGGGGAGGGACGGAGGTGTGGTTTGAGCTCATCAGAGGGCCAGGCGCCCTGCGTCTCTGTAAGACAGCCTGGCCAGTATTCCCCGCCGGGCCCTCCAGGGCTGGCCCACCTCTCCATGAGGCTTTTTCACAAGATATTCAAGGAATTCCTGCAGAAGAGACACCTCCATCTTCCCTCCTGATGTGGAGACCTGCAAACAAGACTGAGAAATGGAGGCCACAGGCTCGGCGGGAGGTAGGGAGTCACAAAATAGAACATTTGAAACACATTCTCATTTCCCTTCTTGGTCTTCCGCATCTCCCCAACAGGCATCTGAACTTGGACTTCCCTTCCACAAGCTCTGAGGAAAGCACCATATGTCAGTTTTATCAGGCCCACAGGCTGGTTTCCATCCAGCCCACTCTGATTTCCTCCCAGCTGTAGTTCTGCGGAATGACCCATCCCGCCTGGGGCATGTGGGGGAAGAGAGACAGCAGCAGCTGTGGACACATACCGAGCGCCTGCCACCGGCTGGGAGTCATTCTGATGACGTGTGTGTTGATGATGTACAGTCCTGAGTCCCGCTGCCATCATCCCCATTTTACAGATGGAGAAACTGAGGTGCAGAGGTGTTCAAGGACATTCCCAAGGTCATCCGGCTAGTGGAGGCAGAGCAGGGATCTAAGGCACACTGATCATCGCACTTGGCCGATTTGCTATGACTGAAAACCCCATCTTGGCTTAAAGATGTTGGCTGGAAGAGGTGAGGGTTTAGAGGAAGGAGGTCCCACCCAGCCGGTCAGGAGTGGGAACACCAGAGGAAGGATTAACGATCCATGAGAAGGGGCAAGGCTGGGCCTATCCGTCTCCAGCAGAGCAGGGTCGAGCCCAGTGAGTGAAGCCAGCACAAGCCAGGGAGCCCCGGGAGGGCTGGAAAGCAAGAAGGACTCCCTGGAGGCAGCCCCCTTTGGAGAGCTGGTTAGGGAGCCGCGGGAGCCCTCAAGAGACCCTGGAGGCTGGTTTGGGTCCCTTGCCCAGCGTCAGTCCTTACCACAGGCCTCCCGCTGCTATTTCCTCTGTCCCCCAGGGCTGAGTGACAAGTGCACTCTCCCTGAAGCCTGCGGGGGGTCAGGCTGCGCTGGGCGTGGAGGGAGGGAGTGGCCGTCTGGGCAGAGGGACCGGGGCTCACACCTCCGGTCCCCCCACCCCGACAGCTGTCAGCCTCACCTGCAGGATGGCGTGGCTGAGAGGCGCGAATGAGCTAAGTGTCAAGAACCCAGGGAGGCTCCTGGCACACCAGGGGTGTGTGACCCGTGTGCCCTGCCCCTGTTCTTCCTTCCAGAACAAGGAAGAAGTAAGGCAAAGTCCCCCACCCCCACCCCGGGCCTTGGGGGCTGGGCCTGTCGCAGGTCCCGCGGACACAGGCCTCTAGGATGGAAGGGCCCCTCGGCCAGAAGAGCGCCCTGGATGGCTGCAGTCCCTGCCCTAAGCCTGGCAGGCGAGCAGGGCGGTACCAGGCCAGGGCAGGAATCTGGGGGCCCTGGCTTGGCCCTGGGAATGGTCCTGCCCTGACTCCTTTGATCCAGAGGCCTGGCCTCACTGGCTGAAGGCTCCAGCAGCCTCCCCGGGGGGCCCGAGGCGGGAGACAACGCCCTTCTTTCCCTCTTTCCACCTTCAGCCCCTGGCAGGAGGTCCCTAAAGAAAGGAGCTTCAGCTGCAGCCCCTTGGGCTCCTTCCCTCATATCTCCTGGCTGCAGGCCCACCTTGGAGAGGCTTCACCCCGCAGGCTGTCTCTGCGGTGTCAGCTGGAGAAGCCAGCCACCACGGAAGGCCAGGATGGAGGTTGGGCCGTGACCGGTCCCCTCTGATGCCACAGGGGACTTTGATGTGGGTCCAGGTCAGGTCTAGCTCTCCCGGCCAGGGTTCCACCTTCAAGAGAGAAAAAAAAAAAGGAAGGGTGCTGGGGGGAGTTCACCATCCCAGGAAGAACAATGGGAACGGGAGCTTGAGGGAGTCAGGCAAGGAGCACCTCCGAGCATGGAGGGCACTGTTCTTGACACCAGCTTTGTTCTCGCCATAAAAAAATGTGAACACAGTGGGAGGGAGGTTCAAAAGGGAGGGGGTTATATGTATACCCATGCCTAATTCATGTTGAGCTTTGACAGAAAACAACAAAATTCTGTAAAGCAATTATCCCTCAATAAAAACATAAATTAAAAAAAAAAAAGGAAATACCTTAGAGGGTGAAGTTGATAAGAAACTGAAAGTATCATTCATTACCCCGTTAAAGAATTTTGTATTCATTGGGGAAAAAAAAGTGAACACAGACGTAAAGAGAGAAACAGTGACAAGTTCCTTTTTTCCCCAATATCCCTGCTTCCCCAGCAGAGACCTATATCAGCAGTTGGCTGTATGTCATCCCAGACTTTTTCTGGGCATTTATACACCACACACACACACACACACACACACACACACACACCCATATGTGTGATGCCAGGATGTTTGGGTTTTTTTGCTTTTATGTCAGTTGGATCAAGCTGACCATACCACCCTACAACTTTCCCCCCATAACAGTATATCTTGAACATTTTTTTCATGACCACATATATGAAGCACACATGTCTGCTGCTGCTTTATTTTTCTCTAATTTCTGCAGATATTGCCCGTGTGGATGTGACACAGTTGATTCAACCACTGCCTTTCCACTCACCCCCTCACTCAGGGTCCCTGTTGCCGGCCCGAGTCTGGGGAGCCTGGTGTTTAAGGTAAACGCTGCCACTGCACAGCCCCGGAGACCCTGCCCACGTGCAGAATGCAGCAGCCACTCCCTACTCCCCTGAACAGATAAGGGGTCTCCAGTTCTTTCTGATGCAAACAATTCTGCAACCAGCATCCCCGCCCATGCCTCTCGTTGCACATACACCAGTCTTTCTGGAGGCGCTGATACCTCGAGGTGGAGCAAGGAGGCAGAAGTGTGTGCATCCCGCATGTGAGAGACCCTGCCAAGGTGTGGGAGGGCGCAGCCAGCCTCCTCCGCCCCCAGCCTGCTAGCGCATCCATCACTAGCTGCTGTCCCGGCCGCTGCTTCCAGGAAATCAATTGCAAAGACTGAGGACTGTCAGCAGCTTGCACACTGCAGGCCATCCAGGGAGTAGATGAAATTGTAGGACAAAACCACACCAGGCTCAAGACCGTTAGCGATGGAGACCCCGTGGTGACCTCTCCGGAGGAGTTAAAGGAACACAGACACCACTCACCCTCCATCATCCACCAGCGGTCCACCTGCGGGCGAACAGCCCTCGGTCCTTGGAGAAGCCATTCCTCGTTAGCAGGCCTGGTGGGACGGGGAGGCTGGTCCGGGGCCCAGGCCGCCACTGAGCAGGTCAGGAGACCAGCGGGGTAGCCGGCTTCCCTGGAGGGTGGACCCAGAGGACCCCACAGGGCCCTCGGCCGCTCAAGGTCAAGGGACCTGCCCCCTTCCGGCCGGCCCCTAGAGGCGCCATCTGGCAGCCAGGCAGTGATCCTCAGAGATTGCCCTCCACCCTGCCCCCGGGCCCACGGATGCTGCAGCTGAGCACAGGCCCCCTGCCCACCCTCCCCCGACCCCCCGCCCTGCTCGGATCCAGGTGCTGGCATCATGCCTCAGGTCTTCTAATCCAGCTGCACTCCCTTGCCCTGCCCCTCTGGGAGGAGGGGCTCCGGAGGGCACTGTGGAGTGGGGGAGGACAGCATGGACAGATCCAGCCTTTTCCTTACCCGGGAGCGTGACCCGAGCCTTCCCCTGGTTTCAAAGAAGCTAGGTTTATAAGCCCCCCACCCTGCACCCCCACCCCCCCCTTTCTTCCTCTTCTAGACCCCAGCCACCCACACCTGCACGTGGCCCTGCACACAAAACCCAGTCACAGCAATGAACACGGAGAAATACACAACCATGTCCTTTTCTGTAAGCAGCTGTCTCCCGGTTCTGCAGACCGACTTACCAGCTAACGATGAAAAGATAACTCTAGCTACATTCATTGGGCAGTGTGCCAAGTGCTTTATGGATATTATCTGACAATTTTCTTCACAAAACCATTAAGTAGAAGCAGCTCTGAATTTATCGGTCGAGAAATTCAGAGACGTTAAGTGACTTGATCCAGGTCACACAGCTGCTGAATGCTGGAGCCAGGACTGGAAGCCAGCTCCCCATCAAACTCCAAATCTGCGGGTTTAACCCGTGTGCTACCCTACTAACTTCACTTCATATCTTCTTCTGGGTCATCCCGAAGGCCAGGTTGAACTGGTCAGTTTCCCAGGCCTCACCCCCGGCCTGGGTGGGGCTGCTGCTCCTGATCGCTGAAGCTGAGTGAAAAGACTGTCCCCATCTCCTCCATGTCCAGATGCTCTGACTCTCTCATGAGCATACCCAGTCCCCTCTGGGCCAGTAAGATGTGACTGGTCACCCTGCCTGCCAGGGGGCACTTGGCGGGGGGCCATCTCAGCCTGAGGACCGTGGAAATCCCTCTCAGCTCCACCTCCCCACCTGGGTTCAGGTGGCGGCTGGTTTCAGGGCTATTCATCCACAAGCAGGCTGGGAGGTGGGAGAGAGAGAGGCGGCCCCATTCCAGAGGGGCTTGCTGCCCTCGTGTGGCCCGGGCCTACGGCCGCTGCGTCTCCCTCCTTCCATCCTCCTTGCTGCTCTCCAGTCTTCCCCGGTGCCAAGGACCCACACCCAGTGCCAAGCCCAGCACAGGTGCCCAGGAGAGGGTGGCAGAAAGACCAGGGAAATTCCCAATCACCAGATAATACCCCGGAGCCAGTAACATCGATGGAGATGAAGTCTACTTATCTGTTGACCTGAAAAGATGCCCTAGTCTATTGTTCTGTTTTAAAAAAAAAAAAAAGGAAGGAAGTAGGTCTTAAAACTATTGGAAAAGACCCTGATGCTGGGTAAGATTGAGGGCAGGAGGAAAAGGCAGCGACAGAGGGCGAGATGGTTAGACGGCATCACTGACGGGACATGGGTTTGAGCAAACTCCAGGACATGGTGAAGGACAGGAAAGCCTGGCGCCTGCAGTGTATCGGGTCACAGAGTCAGACACAACTTAGCAACTGAACAACAACAAAAAAACAGTAAGAAAACCTTTTATTAATGAAAGAAAATATTCTCTATGTATCTAATCATAGAAAAAAGGATATTTGCCAAGATGCTAACAGATGATTTTTGTTGTCTTGGCTTATCTGTGTTTTCTCTTTTTCTCAATGAACGTCAATTACCCACATAATTTTAAAAAGCAATAAAAATAAACCAATCCCAGACTGATGGTACATCTTCCTGTCTTCATCCCTACGCCCAACAGCTCTCCAAAAAAATCATCACAGATCCATAATTCTGGACCTTCCCTTCTCTCTCCTGTCATTTCCACATCTCAGCGGGTATGTGCTGGGTTGGGGTTGGGGGGAAGAGTCCTACCTGCTCCAGGAAGACTTCCCCTGACTAATGGGAGGTGTGGAGGCTTGGCCCAGGTGGCCTTTTCTCTCTGACCCAGCCCTGCCCAGAAGCAGTGCCCCAAGGCCCTCTTCCCTTCCTTGGTGCCCTTTCAGGAGGAGGAAATGCTCCGTTTTCCACTGCAGTGTTGGCTTCAGGCTGAGCCCACTTCCCCGAGGCCGAGATCCTCAGAGGCAGCCCCCCCGCCCCCCATAATCACGTGGACAGGAGCCCCAAGGCAAATGGCTCCACCACCGAGAGGTGATCCTGGCAAAATGAAGGAGGGAAAAGAAGTCACAGAAGCTCCTGATCACCAGAAAAGAAAGAGCCATGCTTGAGGATGGGGCTCTGCGGGCCCCTTCCAGCAGGATCTGAGGGAAACGGGGAAGATGGAAACAGAGCTTCCTGAGCACTGACCACATGCACATGGTGGACCCTCCAAAGATGCTGTCACCCCCTCCCTTTGTGCAGGTGGGGGTGACAAGGCACCTGAGCCTCAGCTTCCGACATCTCTGGGGCTTCAACCAGAGTCTCACATCAGGGTAGGCTCCGAAAAAGGCCTCTGGTTGGAGAAATTAGTGTTTGTGGGCAGCTTCTCCCACCCCTCCCCGACCATGTTAGCCACTGCCCAGGCTCCCCAAGAGCCACAGACACCCCTCTCCAGGACAGGGGGTAGTAAAGAGCAGCTAGGACCGAGCATTTTCCCCAGAGGGCCAGATCTCTGAGCGCCTGCTACTTTAATGATGAAGATGGCTAATGTCCTCGTTCTGGCCGTTAGAATAGCAGCCATCAGCTAAGGCAGCCTAGAGGGTCCTGAGAGCTGGCCGGCCACCCAGAAGAATCCAGGGTTCAAGGCAAAGGAAGAGGACATTTAGTCCCTGAACCCCGTCTTCAAATCACATTCCCAGAGGTGACCATCACCAGTGACCCAGAAACCAGGCTCCCACGCCCTCCAGTCAGCTCATACACACACAGGACAAATGCAGCGGTTGGTGTATCTGATTAAGAGGAGGAGACCCTCCCTGATACTGTTCCAGCTCTGAACCTAGCCACCTGGGTCAAGTCATTCCTGCCACCATAGCTCCCCTTCCACTTCCACGGTGTTGTAGGGTCAATAAGGGTTTCAAAGAGTGTTGCTGAAGAATGCTCAGCCCCTGGCAGCATCTCCTCCCTGCATGGGGGTCTCGGAATGAGTTTCACGCCCTGAGCACCTGGGTTTGTGGGCAGGTGGTGGTTCAGATGGTAAAGAATGTGCCTGCAGTGCAGGAGACCCAGGTTTGATCCCTGGGTCAGGAGGATCCCCTGGAGAAGGGAATGACAACCCACTCCAGTATTCTTGCCTGGAGAATTCCATGGACAGAGAAACCTGCTGGGTTACAGTCCTCGGGGTCGTGAACA